CCACAACGCCCGGCTATTTTTTGGTTGCAGCCGACATTGTTGTTTGGCGGGTCTGGGCTGGGGATTCGAACCCGCCACCTTAGGTGTACGTGGCTGGGGCCTTAGCCGGTTGAGCTATAGGCGCCGAGCCTAAATATACACTCTTTTTGAACAACTTTAATGATAAAATTGTCCCCAATGTAATCTACACTATTTACCTATAGATTCCAATTGTCTCCATTCTAATCTTTTAAATTTTGTAAAAATAGTTATCTTATATGTGAAAAGATGCTCAATGAACATCCTTAATCATTTGGGAAATGCAAATCAAAACTACAACAAAACATCATTTCATACTAAGAAGGGTAATTTTTTTTTTTTTTTTTTTTGGAGAGTCTCACTATGTCACCCTCAGTAGAGTGCTGTGGCATCACAGCTCACAGTAACTTCCAATTCTTGGGCTTAAGCAATTCTCTTGTCTCAGCCTCTCGAGTAGCTGCGACTACAGGAGGTGCCTGCCACAATGTCTGACTATTTTTTGGTTATAATTGTCATTGTTGTTTGGCAGGCCCAGGCTGGGTTCAAACCTGCCAGGTCCGGTGTATGTGTGGCTGGCACCCTAGCCACTGAGCTACAGGCACCAAGCCGCTAAATTGTTTTAAAAACCATATATATATGTTTTATTATTTATTTATTTTTTGAGAAAGAGTCTCACTCTGTTGCCCTTGGTAAAGTGCTGTAGCATAATAGCTCACAGCAACCTCAAACTCTTGGGCTTAAGTGATTCTCTTGCTTCAGCCTCCCAAGTAGCTGGGACCACAAATGCCTGCCACAACACCTGGCTATTTTTTTTTTTGTTGCAGTTGTCATTATTGTTTTAGCTCAACCAGCATGGGTTTGAACCCACCAGCTTTGGTGTATGTGACCAGCGTCCTATGGGCACCGCCTTAAAATTTTTTTTTTTCTTTTTTGGGACAGAGCCTCAAGCTGTCACCCTGGGTAGAGTGCTGTGGCATCACAGCTCATAGCAACCTCCAACTCCTGGGCTTACGTGACTCTCCTGCCTCCGCCTCTCAAGTAGCTAAGGCACCTACCACAACACCCGGCTATTTTCTTTTTTGGTTGCAGCTGTCATTGTTGTTTGGTGGGCCGGGGCTGGATTCGAACCCACCTGCTAAGGTGTATGTGCTGGCATCTTAGCCACAGGCACTGAGTCCTTAAAATTTTTTTTTAAAGACAGACAATAACAAGTGTTGATGAGAATGTGAAGAAATTATAATCTTGCTAGAGGGAATGTATAATAGTGCAGTCTCTTTGGAAAAGTTTGGAAATTCCTTCTAAGGTTAAAAATAGTTATCATTTGTTTTCTGTTCCTATCTGTTATATCGAAGAGAACTAAAAATATATACCCATAAAAAAATTTGTACATGACTGTTCATAGCAGCACCGTTTAACAGACAAAAAGTGAGAAATGACCCAAATGTCCATTAATAAGAAATTAAAAAATGTGACATATCCATATAATGAATCAAATATTTGGCCACAAAAAGGAATGAAGTACATAAAAAATAAGTACATGCTGAAACATGAATGAACCTTACAAGCATTAAACTAAGAAGCCAGTCACAAAAGGCCACATATTTTATGATTCCATGTATAGGAAATAACATAACAGAAAAATCCAGACAGAAAGTAGATTAGTGGCTTCCAAGGGGCAAGGAAAGTAGAAAATGGAGAGCATCTGCTAATGGGTTTCTTTTGAAGGTGATAAAAATGTTCTGCAGGCCAGGCGCAGTGGCTCATGCCTATAATCCTAGCAGTTTGAGAGGCCCAGGGGTGTGGATGGGTTGAGCTCAAGAGTTCAAGACCAGCCTGAGCAAAAGTGAGACCCCTGTTTCTACTAAAAATAGAAAAACTGAGGCAAGAGGATTGTTTCAGCCCTACTTGAACGTTGCTGGGAGCTATGACACCACCGCACTCTACTCAGAGCATTAGCTGAGACTCTGTCTCAAAAAGAAAAAAAAAGTTCTGGAATTAGATAACAGTGATGGTTGTATAATTCTCTAAGTATACTAAAAAACAATGAAGTCATAAAGTTTATGTTATTTAAATTATATATCAATAAAACTATTAAAATATTTTATAACCACAAATATTAATCATACTTTAAATTTTAGCCTGATTATCTCTAAATACTCACCTCATTCTTCCCATTTTTATTATTGTTACCCTGTGAAATCATTTTTTCGAGGACAGCAAGAAGATGCAAAGCTTTCTCAGCTTGGTAGGTTAATATATACAGGTCTACAAGCAAAAAACATACTGCTTGGGCAAATTTTTCTTCTGGGAGAAAAAAAAAAAAAACAGGGAAAGAAAAGTCACAATCCAAAAGTGAAGCAAACATCTCAGTCCCCTTTCTCAGACCTCCAACCTAAAAGGAATGTAAAGCTTTAAAGAGCAGCATAGGCTTTAATCAAATGAACGCATATCACCCAGACCCATGAATAGAAGCAACTAGGAATGCAAACAATGTCATTCTATTGATGCGGGACAAGGTAGCACCATGACCTGCCACCTTAGCCATGGACCTGTTGACATTGCAGTGGATGGACCAAGTCGCTTGATATCCGCAGACACGTTTGGGGGAAGACACTGGTGCCATGCTGTCTCCTCCACGTGGACTTCTGACTAGTCAATTTCATGGATGGCCCCTTGCTGTCTGCTCCACTTGCACTCCTGACTGGTCAATTTCATGTCAGTTTCCAAGGCCTGAAAGCTCATTGGACAACTGGCTATAACTCTGGAGGACCCACACCCTAAAGTTCCCCTAAACAACCCACCTGTCACTATATAAACCCCTGAGCAGAGAACCTAAGAACAGACCTCCAAAAGGGAGCAGGAGAGCCTGTTCCCCTCCTGGGTTCTCTCTGCAAAGAGGTTTGGTTTTTTGTAGTTGTAATTTTTGTTTCTTTGAATCTAATCCTGCCTTACTGCTGATCCTGTGGTCCTTGGATTCATTCTTCCAATCGCCAAGACCAAGAACATGAAATTCAGTATCTCTATTAGGCATTACAAGGCCTCTCATTTCAGAGATTCTAGTGATTGAATTTTCTTTGGCAAAATACTTACTGAACACTAGCACATATAATGAGGAGTATTACTTTAGGTGGAAGAAAATCAGAATTTCAGTATAGATTGAGTCTGGCAATCTGAAATCTGGCGGTAATAACAGCACATACCTGTAATCCTAGAACTCTGGGGGGCCCAGGTGGGAGAATCCCTTGAGCTCAAGAATTAGAGACCAACCTGAACAAGAGTGGGATCCTGCCCCTACCCTTGGTGGGCACCTGTAGTTCCAATTAGGAGGCTGAGCCCAAGAGTTTGAGGTTGCTGTGAGCTATGTTGATGCCACAGCACTCTACCCAAGATAATAGAATGAGACTATGTCTCAAAAAGAAAAAAAAAAGGCAAAAATCATCTCTACCAAAAATTGAAAAATTAGCTGGGCATCCCAGCTACTCAGGAGGCTGAGGCAGGAGGACTGCTTGAACCTATGAGTTCTAGGTTGCTGTGAACTCAGCTGATGCCACGCCTAGAAAACAGTGAGACTCTGTCTTAAGCAACAACAAAAATCCAAACATTTTAAGCATCAATATGACACTCAAAGAAAATGCTCACTGGTGCATTTTGGATTTCCAATTTTTAGATAAAGGATGTTCAACCAGTGAGTACACAAATATTCCAAAACCTCAAAAATCCTCAATCCAAAACACTTCTTGTAGCAAGCATTTTGTATGTACTCTGCCACTAACTAGATGTGTGCTCTTGGTACATCATTTAACTTTTCAGATCTTAGCTCGCTGACCTATAAAATGGGAAGAGTACATTGACTACCAAAAGACAGAGGGGATCTTTTGAGGTTAGTTTTAACTCTAAAAAGTTCTATGACTCCATGGAATAGATTTTTTTTCTAGGTCACAGAAATGTAAAAAAAACAACAATCTGATTACAGAAGCAAAAGAAGAAAGGTGTGGACTAGAGTATGTCAGAAATTTGAGACTGCCATGAGGAAAATATGAACAGAAAGCCTTCAAAGAAAGGCCCAACAAAGAGAGGAAAGGTAACTTGGTGTGACGTAAAACTATCTTCCTTTCCTCTCAAAAAAGAGGAGTCATCTCAGCGCCTGTGACTCAAGTGGCTAAGGTGCCAGCCACATACACCTAAGGTAGCGGGTTCGAATCCAGCCTGGCCTGCCAAAACAACGATGGCTGCAACCAAAAAATAGCCAGGCATTGTGGTGAGTGCCTGTGGTCCCAGCTACTTGGGAGGCTGAGGCAGGAGAC